ATTGGTAGGAATTACAGGCAGTGCATTTACACTAATGAAGCAAAATTACCCTGAAATTGCATTTTCTTTAATTTCAATCTTAAAACTGTAAAATAAGGTTGAAAATTGAAGTAATAAGTGTAGTTAATACGGTTCGAAGTTTCTTAAAACATGCCAAACAGTCTGCTTTAGACAGAATTTTGGATATATTTCCATCAGTGAATGTTTTACAATCCTACTGTAATACCTTGCCACAGAAAGGATCAAATTCAACCCAATAATTAGGCGACATTCCCCTGGTGCTGAAACAGCTACAGCTCAGCTACACCTGTAAACCAGTCGCTTATTGGTTTGTGACAGCATGCACAAACCATGTGTTACAACAGCTTGCCCAGATTTGTAGCACAACCCCAAGGACGCCCAAACCAGAGGCGGTCACACTGTGTTGTCTTTACCTTCCCACTTGATTTGGGGTCAAACCATCCCATTCCAGCTCCAGCAGCAAGCGCAGGATTTCTTACTGACAGTAACGCTGTTGGGGCCAAATGTGGCAAAGCACCCAACAGGAACAAGGTGAGGGGGTTACCGAAGTTTTCTCCCCAAAATCAAATATTTCTGCATCTCAGATTGAAGCAAAGGACGGAAACATACAGCCAGGCACCGGGAGCATCTCGGACCCCTTCTGCAGTCTGCACCTCCGCACGAAGGACAAGCAGTTTCTAAGCTCAGAGGCTGTATTTATTTTCCTGAAGCTCAGCGTTACGAGCAAGGCTCATGGTGGCAGAGCCCAGCCTTTGCTTGAAGATGCAGGACAGCTACGGCGTTTCGCTACAGAATCAGACATTCAACCTTCATCTCAGGCTTTTATTAGAGACGTAAATCACTCGACCAGGCTGGGAGTCCAAACATGTTGCCAATCACAGCACTCTTGCATTTGTGATACCAGCCTGGCAGCACAGCGACTGTGGAGGTCCGGGAATGCCCTTGGCTTTGGCAAGCTCTCCCTAGCAGGCCAGGACATCACCTAGAGCTGTCCGATACCTGAGAATTTTCACTGCAGAGTTAAAAGACCACGTGCAGACTTCTCCTCACCGATAGCACAGCAGCAGCATTGGGAATATTGCCATGAACTTTAAAGAGGATTAGACTACAAGGCAGCAAAATGAGGTTTTGGGGCTTGTTGTCCAGAGAAGAGCCTGGTCTACACTGGAGCTCCTGCTGCTGGTAGGAATGTCAAGAAATGGTGTTAATTATGAGCAGCAGGATTGGGCCTCGGGTTCACAACGGTGTTTTAGTCACAGCGGAGCAAATTGAAGGTAAAGCTTCAGTGTCTATTTTGGATTTCCTAGTGGGTGTGTGCGAGAAACTCAACACTAATTAAGCCCCTTTCTCTTCATTTCTGCTTTGATATACAACAGGTCTGCCTTGCCCTCCTTCTAGCACTATTATATTTCGCCTCAGGGGAAAAAAAAAGTATGAAGAATTTGTTTCCATCAGTGCAAACTTGCCTTCCAACAGGGAGTTTAAATGACTAGCTGACTCCAAGGAGATGGAGGAACTATTTGTCTCCATATTTTTAAATAAATCCCATTCTCCCCATCTCACCCCCTGCTATTGTAACTGCTCTAGAAATGTCGAAATGTTGAGGTGAGGTCATTTAACAGCAAGACGACTTTTTTTTTTTTGGCTACTGCTCTTGCCAAAGGACAAGAATGGGTTTGTGTTCCTGAGCCGAGTCATGTAGCCGATTCATCCCAGGTGTCAGACATCTGCTGCTAGCTCTGCAGCCGCCTTTGTTAGGACACCAGACACAGCAGCAACGTTCCCAAGGAACAACTCGAAGGAAACCCTTGGCGCCAACGGACCTAAAACAGAAGCAACTGACAACCTTCGGGGCTTCTGGAAGACAAGCAAAACCCAGCACCATATCCTCTGGCTACCCTCCCCAAACCAAAGCTGCTTTTTAAGCGATTTTTGTCCTTTACAAACACTTTGCTCTTCTGTTCAGGACTAGAGCAGAGTTCTCAGCCTATGGTCGGAACACGGGTAACTGTGTGTGCTACTGTGCTGCGAGATCCTCGTGCCTCACAGAGATAATTCCGGGGACCAAACCTCCAGTTGTGTTCTGTTTCCTGCATGCCATGAAAAGTAATCAGGGAAAGCAATGAAAAGAGATTATCAAACGAAACCAGAGAGATGATTAGAAAGAAAATTGCCGGGCCAGAATTTACATATAAGGTATTAGAAAGTGGAATAGGATCTGAGTTAGTAGGGAGAAAAAAAAAAAAAGAGAAAGAGAACCGTTTCAACACAACAGTGCACTTTAAATAACCAAATGAATTCTGAAAGTAAAACGGTACAGGGACTCATAATTCAGCCGCATGGTGACAGCCTCCCCACAGCCACTGCCTGCAACGCCTCCGACACGGCTCCTCGAGCAAAAATACCCCAGACTGCTGTGGAAAAAAAATTATAACCTGCAAACACAATCCACTCCCTACCTACCGCACTTCTTGCGGCGAGACGGGAACAATATATCCACCCAGGTAGCACATGGAGACATAAAGCCCAACCGCTTGTTCACATTATAGTCATCAGCAAACCGCCTGGTGGGGGAACGTTATGAGGCCATGGGGAGAGCAGCGATATAAAGACCTGACGGCCAAGTTACAGGAACAGTGATTGAGACTGGCTCAGGATAATCATGCTAGATGAAGCTCTTCCCTTTCAGAGACATGTATGTCTCTCCCCAGTAGTTGAGCAGTTTACTTATGTCCATTATGAACCCAAATAACGAAACCCTACACGCCGCGCTGTGTTTCACCCCGCGGAGGTGGAAGGCAGCGAGCGGGGCTGCTCGGGGGAGGCAGGCGCTTCCTGAAGACGACGGCCAATGATTTCCTGAACACCCGCCGCAAAAGCCACAGGAAGCTCCCCAAAGAGACGAACTCGCGCCTCATCCCCAAGAGCGAGACCTGCTTAGATCCTTTCAAATAAAAAAAAATACAGTCATAGTTACAGTAATCTCCCACCACAAATCATTGCATTAATGGCTCAGGTCGGAACAAGGACTTCTGTGTACTCTGTTCTTCTCACCCTTTCCAAATGCCACCGAGCAATAAAACACAAGTAGGAAATCAGCAATGCCCTGTAGTCTTTGCTCAAGGGTCTCACTTTCCCCTCCAGAAGTACCTGCAATTTATTTCAATAAGCAACAGGACCGAGGGCCACATCTGAACCTGAGCATGCAGAAGGAATTTGCGCATTACCTCTCCTCCCAATGCAAGGCCGCTTCACCCAGTCTCCTGCTTTTCTGAGATTACTTTGTCCTAAAAGCTTTATCCCACATTGTGTTCTTAGGATGAGAGTGACCTAAGAGCCAAGGCTGGGTTCTGGTTCACAGCATCAGTGTTTGCCCCAGGACCCTAAACCTGCTCCTTCTCGAGCAAGTTACCAAAACCACACACAGTCTCTGGGTGGCCAGAGATCCACAGGACGATCATCTTTCCCTCCTGCTCAAGCACCATTCACAACTCTAACAGCACACGAACACAAACCACTTACTTCAGGAAGCAAGAACAATCCAGTATCTCCAAGTCTGCGAAGTGTCTCACACATTTATCAAGTTCCATGCTATTTTTAACTCATTAAAAAGAGACCTAGAGTTTTATTCTATGAAGATAACAGTTGTCAGTTTTAAAGTTGTGTGCACTCAGGACAGTTGGAAATAAAAAAAGCTTGACTTGATGCCTGAATACTTGCGGTACAGAATTCTGTTTACTTCGCTCTTTCCAGCCAAGATCAATACCTGCCAATGAGTGGGAATTTTTCAGAGAATCCAAACCAACCCGTTACAAACATGCAATCACGCCCTTTCTTCTGCAACATTACAGGACACTGCTACACACACCCCACCCATTCTTCCATTAGATATGCTACGGTCCCATTTTCCAAAGGCTTCCATCTTCTGCATTCAGCTTGTTTCAATTATTCAGTACAACCCAGGCTGATAATTACACAGTCCCGTGTTGCTGAGTAAAACTGATGCTTAATTAGCCAGCAGGAAAGATCGATTAAGATACAGCAGGGCATCTTGCAAAGTTCTTCAGTGGGCCTGCAGGGAATAAAGTCTGGCTGTGCCCTTCCGAAGGATAAAATTCTCCGCTTCTCAAGGACTCGATAGCAGTTTTATTTAAACTGGATGCTTAGATTAGTCAGCCACCCTGAGTTTTATTGTCAGGTCTTAACTTCAAGTGACACAACTCATACCTTATAACTAGAGTATTAACAGCAAGGTCTGAATCGTGTTTCTAGCCAAAAAAACATAATGCAGCTGAGACAAAGTTTTATTTAAGCCTCCAGCAACCTGTTTTCTGTTTACATTCCTTGATTTTCCCCTAGCACAACAGAACAACCTTGGTTTGCTTCACTCACTTCTCCAAACGATGCAGCTCACGTTCTCATGCAGGACTGAAACAGTCCTGCGGACATGAGATTTTGGAATCCACTTCAGACCCGAGTCTAAGTCAAGAAGTCCTCTTCATTGCTTTTTACTGTATCAAAGTCCAGGCAATGCGTAGAGTTGAGGAGCCACTCGTGAAATAGATACTTTTAGCAGCAAGCCAGCAGCATGAGTCTTTGCACGCTGTATTGATTTACCCACACACCTAAGTATCAAGTGATGGATTTTTTCCACAGAATCCTCTCTAGCACAAGGGAGAAGGAAGAACAGGACAGGATCAGCAGGCCATATGTAAAGAGCCCTACAGACACAGCCCAAGGCATGTTTTCTTACCTTGAAACACAAAACAAAATCCAAACACAAATAATGACAACTTTGCAGACAACCATCTAGCTGCTTAAATAGGAGAGTGTGCAATGCACTCTTACGTTACACCAAGCCCTGAACGCCCATGAACTTTCAAAGCCTGGTCCAGCCAGTGGCACACACCATGTGGCACCCCAAGGCGTGACACTATTCTGAAGCACTTTCATTAGCAAGTAATGCAGACAGCACAAACCTGGCTTTGACTTGCTGGAAGCCAAAGAGAATTGCATCCCTCTGCTCCCTTGCTTTAACACTCAGGTTTTCATTCTGCAGTCCATCTGCCAGGTAGTCTTCAGCATCTGGGAAAAAAAAGAATTACAGGTTAAAACTAACCTGTTCTTGGCTAAGAAACCTGGACCTGGCTGTGCACTGGGAAGCCCTCAAAGCACCGTACCCGACAACCTGATCTAAAGACACAAGTCAGTCTGAAGACTTCATTTGGAGAAGTGAAGACATTGCACTGATTGCGGATAGAAGATCTAAATATTGCATGTGATTACAGAGCTTCTCTCTAGTTACAATGGTGTAAGGCAAATAAGCAACTGCAAAGAAACCAGCAAGCAGAAAAAAGGGAGAGGAAGGTGAAACCTGGGTAAGTCTGTTAGACTAAAGTGCAAATCCACCTATGCTAAAAATATGCTGCTGTGCAAGGCTGTTGGCATTAAGCAAGGAGACAGAAGTGGTCCTCCCATTCAGAGAGGGATCCAAAGCACTTTTAAAACACCAGTGCAAGATATTCACTGACGCTTCCAGGAAACTCTAACCTACAGCTTTCACAAGGACGATCTTCGCAAAGGGCAGGCACTGAATAACAGGCTGGTTGTGCGCTAGCACTTGTATCACTACACGGGTTCTCCCACAATAAGGTTGTTGCTGAAATACTACACCCTGTGCTTGCTCAACAGAGACAGCTAGGTAAAGTAAATACTGTATTCTCTCACCTGGAAACCACATCTATATGCAGAAATTTAACCCGAACTGGAAGATAAAAGGATTAAGTGTCTTCTATTTGCATAAATATTTATGTTCTTTACAGAAACCTCAAAAAAAACCTCACAGAACAAAACCGTTCCAATCACGCCTGCTCTGTGTAGGAGAGTATCATCCATGTACTTCAGCAGCAGTACTGCTAGCTTCCCCTAGCAGAGAAAAGATTGGCTTCAAAGCTATGGTGTTGTATATCCACAGGCCTCTCCAACTTTTAACTCGCACCCCATGCCATTACACTAATGTCAGGTTAATATCCTGCTTGCAAGACTTTCAGCTCCTGATGCTTCAGCTGCCGGTACAACAGCCAGCACTGTTTAGCACACCCCAGGAATCTGCACAGCTCCTTAAAAACAGCTTCTCCACCTGCAAGCACATCTCAAGATCAAAATGCCACAAGAGAAATTAACACCTTTTTCTGCTAGTAGCATGAATCCTCATTTCTTTTTGTTGCCTGCCCGTGACACACTGAAGAAAGGCTTAGTGCTTGGGGGGTGGAGGTGGGGGGGGCAAGGAGCTCTAAGTGAGGAGCATAAAGAAGGATGTGGAGGACAACAGGGCTGATGTTTGGACATCCCCCAGGAACAGAGCCCTCTTCCCACCTCCTCTTCAGAGTGACAGGACCAGGGAGACCCAATTCTGCCCACAACAGCCTGGCAAGGAGTGAACACAGACCATTGCACTTGTTTCCATAGCAGTCTAGATCTCCTTTCTGGATTTGTTCAGCTGAAAGCACCAGTTTCCATGGGAGCACTCACGAGTAAGCACATTTCAGCCAAATGCAGACTCCTCCAGGTCCTCACTAGCTCTTCTGTCTCCCTGCCTTTCCTCCTGACCCACAAGACCAGGTCTGACCTGGGCATGCCACATCACCCGCAGCCACCACTTCACAGCTGAGGAACAGAGCCTAAAGCAGAATACAGCCCTGAGAGCGCGAAGCATCCTGGCACAGCCCCTCCGGCACGGTTCCCACATCTCAGTAAATGGGCAGGAACGCTAATTCACAGCTTCGCTCTCAAACCCACACCTACCTCCAGCAGTGGTTTGGGGACCTCCGGGAGCACAGAGATGTCAGGCCAAAATGCCTATTAATATCAAGTTCACTGCTAGTAATTTAGCCCTAGGTAGCCTGCCTAGGATAACACTACAGCTTTGCCAGAGCAGCTGAGTGAAGCTTTTTAAATCCCAGGCCAATCCTGTAATCCTTAGGCTAAGTTTCACTGTCAGTACACCTCTCTGCAGTTTTAATTATACATCTATGATACAGTATCAGTTTATGACAAGCCTAACAGCGATGAGGCTTACACCACTTACAAATTACATAGAAAGTACCGAAGTACACACACCCAAGCACAAAGGATGTATCTTGCTCCAAGGAGCTTACTGTTTAAGAACAGATGAGGCTAAGGGGGCAATTTATTATATACAAACCAGCATAAAATGAGCGTAGTAGAAATGGGTCAGCAAGAGAAGCCACGTACAGGCTCTATTTCCCCAGTGAAAGAGAACAAGCAAGAAAAACAAACCGCTCCCAGAACTTGTGCAAATATCAGCTGCATCCCTCTGTCATTTTTAAGCGCAGATTAGCTCCGTGAGTATGCGATTAGCTCTAATACGGTGTTTACTTACTGGGATGTCAGCACAGATCAGCTGCTGGATAAGTTATAGTAGAACTAGGGTCACTTCTGCAAACCAGGCAGAGCCCCTTTCAGAGCCAGCCACTATGTTTATAGCACCAGGAAATGAAAAAGAAAGCCTAACCATAAACTCTCAAAGTGGATCAGGAAGAGCAATATGTAAGCAGCTCTAGAGTAAATCACCCTAATGTTAGTTTTACTGCTTGTCGGTAACATTATATTCTTGATGTTTATAGATTGCTCTCTGCGATCCACTCCGAAAGTTTACAGGACTCTCCTTTTCATTTCCTGCAGCTAAAAAGGTAAGAGGGGGAAAAAAAATAGTTGAGATTTCATCAAGTGTTTCAGGGGAGTTTCTAGAGGCAATTGCAGCTATCTACTTTAATCCTGCAGGAGATGCACATCATCATAAGAATTATGTCACAACCACTGAAGTCCAGGCAGTAAATAACCTTTTAATGGCAACACTAAATTCTAGGAGTTAATCAGCACTCAATGAGCAGAGCTGAAAGGTATTAAGATGCCATGTGTACTCTCTCCATGCACATACACACATTCAGGTTTGTTTTTTTCTTTTCTGCTCCTCTGCCATCAGCAGGCTGCCATCAGCAATCCTGTACTCCAAGAAGCACTGAGGAACTAGTCCCACAGAATCACAATGTTTTAGCCATGCAAGATAATGCTGAGCCAACCAGTCTGCTCCAACACTTCTCTGATGCTTCACACAATCCCTCCTGCAGTTTATCACCCCAACTGGCTGAGAAAAATTACTTTAAAAAAACGTTTAGGACATCTATCAACACAGAGATTGCTGATACCTTGAGCTTCCTTGAGACTGCGTTAATATTTCCAAGATGCGTCCAAAGACAGCCAGGGATTTGGAAGGCTAGCTGTACTGTCCCTTGTTCCGCTAGTCAAAATAAAAGCCATGAACTATTGCACACAGTGTTTCTTGTCTTTTCTGCAAGCTCAAGAAAAGATGGTTTAATTGTGAAACAACATTTTTCAGATGAGCCTTCCCTGCTTTTGGGAGGCAGAGTCAGACAAAACCTTGAGAACTGCAGCAATCTTCATCCATCCTCCTGCACTGGACTGCACGGGGCATTTTCCTCTGTGCAAGGGACAACAAGGGAATGGAGAACAGCTTCCCAGATTTTCAGCTTCCAAGTCTCAACCCCCCTTTCCCTGACATTTGAATTCCAGAGCTACTCATGATGCTATGCCAATGCTGACTTTGGCTTCTTAACCCTCACACAACAGAGCATTTTATTGTTTATTTTTAAAACAGCACCGAGGCTGTTTGCCTCGCAATTAGCAGCTACCAGCTTCGTTAGGCCACGCAGGTGCAGTCACAGTCCTCCCACTGCAGCACCTGCTCTGTCTCTCCTGAGGCCCAAACTCCAGCAAAAAAATGGCTTTCTAGACCTACGATCCGAAATGAAGAGGGTCAAGCAAGGCAGGCAAAGGGAAGATCACCAGACTGCCAGACTGCGTTTGCTTCTACAAACAAAAACAGAAGCCCCGGGTTTGTCAGAGATATATGACATTTTTCAGAACCACTGTTTCAGCCTTCAGAAGAGATTTGTGCTAGACAAACATGAAATACCCTTAAGCAAAAGTTGTTTTAAAAGGGACCTGACCGAGCCAAAAATGAAACCCTGTGCAATTAACTGACCACATGGTGTTAATGAGAACTTGAGTTGCTTATTTTCAAGGTGGGACTTATAGCAAAAAAAAAAGCAACCACATCTACTCATCAACAGAAAATAACAAGCGTTCACAAGAGTTGCAGGATTGCAATGCAGAGAATAGCCATATTGTGTTGGCTTTCTACCACTGCAACCTCGGAGATGCCTTCTGTGGTAACAACACAACTGTTACTATCAAGCCGCTGACCACCTGCTGTTGTTCAGCATGTGAACGGTCCTGCACTACGGACCAAATTTTAACACAAGGAAGCAGATTTTCTCACCTGTACATCAGTACATGTTTCCCCTATTTGTAATTTTTATTTTAAATACAAGAATTCTTCTGGTAATGCAGTTTGCAAACACTGTAATAGCTGAAGTGCCCTTATTTCCAGACTGTGCAGCCTGAAACCTCCGCAGCCACTGGAAGGCCTGAAGACCGTATAGATTGTTAAGACACAGCAAGTTTGATACAGAGATATGTGACATGCAATTAATCTCCATTCATAGCCTGCTATACTTGTCAGCAAACAAAGGCTGTGCTTTAGAAGGAGATCTGAAGCCTTCAATTAAAAACAGTCAGCTAACAAGAAAATAATCTAAGTTAAAGGAAGGTGGCAGGTGCAGAAATGAGTTGTTTACAAAAGTGTCAACACTGAACAATAAAGCGCTGCCCATCAAAAATGTGAAAGGGTGAACTTCGCTGAAGCCCCCATGATTGAAAAACAGGGGAGAAAATCTACACCTACATCTGGGGGAAGACACAAAGCATTTGAAAGGGAGCTTTGAGAGGCATGGAGGCTGCACGCTCTCTGACTGACAGATCCCGGGATTGGAAGCTATCCCACACCTCGGAGGGGTAGGATGCTCCGTGCTGCCAGGAGCCATCACAGCAGGAACCGAAAGGTCGCAAAGCCTCAAGGCTGCCGGGGCCAGTCCCGAACGCAACCGCTCCGAGCAGCGAGATGCGAACGACTGCTTCGTCACCGCCCACGCACATCTGCGACAGCAGGATGTGTCGCCAGCACATGAGCAACGGGCGAACGCCGTCGCTCCAGCCTGCCATGATGCTGAGGAAGCTTTATTTACAGGCAGGTTGTGATGTGGTCTCCTCCGCTCGGCGCTGCTCTCACCAAACCTTTGCTTACCACGCTATGGGGTCAGCAATAGTCACAAAGGTCCATACAGAGCTCGTTTATGTTTGTGAAGCGTATTTTAATCGAAGAGTTTAGCATGGTTTCTGCTCAGCTGACCCACCGCTTCAATGAGTAGAGGTGTTGCAGTTCGAGTTTGTGAAAAAATCCATGAAAAACAACTTCAGAAGCCTCCCACCCTTACACACACACAGAAGTAAAAGCTGCCAGCACAGCTCATTCACTCAGAAGCTGAGACCTCAGGAGGTCAAATTCAAATTATCAAGCAGAAGTGGGGCTTGAAGCCAGCCCTCCTTTCTCAGCTGTACCCCCATTTTCAATGGGATTGAAGCTTTCCTCAGGACACACCCCCACCGAGCAGGCTTGCTCACCACCTCCCCAGAGCGACATATAACACTTGGACAACATCTAAAGCCAGGAGACACCTCCATCAGAGCCACAGCAAACTACAAAAGCCTGCTGCGAGGGCTCACTACAGCACATGAGCTGCTTTTACCCTTCGTACCCCTTCCTGTGTCTCACCCCGGTGATGCTCACCCACGGAGCCTCACTACCTTAACTGAAAGCACTCAGTGGGGACATCTTTTGACTATGCCAGAAGACACCCCTCAATCTTGCTTACACTCTCTTCTCCTTACACAGAGTCTGAGACCACCAGAAAGCTTCTCCAGCCTTAACACAGGCATGGACCCACCTGCCAGCTCCTCAGCAACAGGAGGACAGCCCCAGAAACACCAGGACAGGCAACCACATCCCCTGCACTCTCACTGGGGTTAGAGACAGGAAAGGCACACGCAACATGAGGACCCCAAAACCATCAACCTTAGAGAAAGAAGTAGCTCCCACAACCCTTCCACTCCTCTCTCTGGCTCAGCACAGCAAGGTGCAAAAAGCTTTTCAGCTTCTTCCCCTATAACCACAGCAGATTTCTCCCATTAAGCAGAAGGGGAGCAAGAAGGAATTGGTGGTTACCTTCCAGAAGTCTCTGAATCTCCTCTGGAATCATGATACCTGCCACCTTCCTTTCCACAAGAGTCAAACCTGCTGCTACTCTCCTGTCCCTCAGGGGCAGGGACAAAGGAAGCAGGGAGGGCGGAGACACCCCAAAAACGGTAGGAGGAACTGCTGGGCTCCGCTCAGATGCATCCTCCTCCTCTTACAACCTACCTCCTCACAGGCAGTTGAGATGCCCAGGTCCTCTGGATGCTGAGCACCTCTATGCTCCCAAGAGCCAGAGCTCCAGCCACCAAGCTGCAACAGCACCTGCCCCGACCCCAGCAACAGCACAGCTGAATCTACTCTCCTGCGTTAGTATTTTAATCAAGGGTGTATCTCCTTTATTATCACACAACTCAGCGCAGCTGCTGGCAGAGCAGACCCAGGGACTCTGGGAGGCTGCGAGGCCGTTGATCTAACCTCCTGTGCCTGTCCCTCGCACAACGGGAGCTGGGGATTGGACCTGCTCCAGGTTCCCTCCTCTAATGTGCAGGGGAAGAGAATGGTACTTGACTGTTCTGCAATAAAACTTCCCCTCTTCCTGCATAGGAAGGGGGCTAGATCGTAATAGCCATTCATATTTCTGTGTCTTGCCCAGAGAAATAACAGGGTTGCACACTTTAACTTGCTTTATGACAGGCAATAAATGCAAACCGCACTCAAACATGCAAACAAAAATGGCATTGCATTAGATTAACCCACAGCCCTACATCTGCTCCTCTCCTATAGAAATGAATTAGCACAAGCTGACTATGAGGATACCACTCGCATTTTTCATTCTCGTATTCCCAGATTTTAGGCTTAATACTGGCAAAGCCAAAGACTGTCTTCTTTATCTGAAGCTCATCAATGAATCCAAAGACTAGTTTAAGGTTTCCCATAACTTACGAGTACAGGATCCAATCCTTGCACTGCAACATCCTGGTATCAAACAAATATTTATTATTATAGCACATAGAAAAGGTTATTCTGAACATGCTTGCCACTTTTCAGGTATTTTATGCCTGGAATGTGATCTTTAATTACACTTTCCCAGCTTAGGAAATGTTGGAAATGGTAAAAAAAAGGATGCGATCGAGCTGTGTTGGCCACAAATACAAAACCACATCGCTTCACAAAAGTTCGTGCTTGCTGCTTTCAGCAGGGGCACAACACAGCTCCTGGGAGCAAAGAACCGGGGCCCTCTACTAAGGTGTAGCACAATGTGATGAGGCAGGGCCACTAAACTCTCCAAGGAGGCCCCCTAAAACTACTTCCCTTGGTGCTTTGCTGTCCTCCTGCTCTGGGCAAGACAGCCTGCCACAGTAATGGTCACAAGCTGGCAAAGCAAAATCTGGAGGGGAATAGAAAAAAGAAGTGTGCCTTGAGCTCCCAGCCTGCAAAGGCCAAGATACACAAACCCTTCACTAACAGTCCCACTTGCTTCAGTGGGGCAATACCATGTTGTGAGGCCAAGCGTATTTCCAAATAATTGCAGAATCAGATTCTTGCAGTTCTCTGGGTGCATCACTTGGATGGAATAAAGTTGTTGGCAGCAGGCCTTGGGTAAAGGAAGCCTGGGGCAGATTCCAGATTTGCCCCGAGCCTCTTGCTTTGTTCAGTCAAGACAATCTATAAGAGATAAGGCTTCAGGCTCACCTCACATATGTGATGTAAGAGCTATACTGGCCAAGGCTCAGGTATGGGAATGATGGAAATATCAATGAGAGATGCTCCCCTATATGCTATCAGCTGCTAACATGCTTTGTGACACACTGAGACACACTTTCTGAGACACATGGGCGAAACAAGGGAAAAGGCTCTGTTACGCTTTTCATTATCAGTACAAATCAGATAAAGAACAGGTATAAAATGAAGCACAGTGCTTTGTGTTTTTTGGTTTGGGGCATGTGTGCCTGCAATTCTAGTGTGTTGTCTCCTCTGTAGACAGTGGAGTGAAAGAAGGAAACCACCAAAGCAGCTGCAAAGTTCTTTTGGGACTTTGTGGTTGAAATGTCCAATTTTACGCATGGGGACAGCAGCTCAGTAACTCACATACAGCTAACCCTTGTCAGGAAGGGATGGCTTTAAAGAAGTGAAGATACTGTGACCAGGAACATATTTAGTACACGTGGCTGATCTACCAGGACAGTAACATTGCCCCCGTGGCAACGCTGAAGAGGCAGCTGCCATTTGGGGTTTAGTCGCACAGAAAAGAAGTCACTATGTTCTCCCTCCGGCTTGGGGAGGCTCAATCGCTCTCTGGATCTGGGAAAATAAACACACCACCACTTCTGATCCATCACTCAGCTGTGCTCTGCACGCACGCATAATTTCAGAACAACCTGGAGACAGATTTTGCATCTGACATTACCAATCCAGATCTATTCTGAGTAGGTTTACTCAGTTTCTGCCCTTGCTCCTTTACCTTGTGCTCTGCTGGGTGGGCTCACCCACATTGAAAACACTGCTGCAGCATATTCTTGATTTTAGGCTAACATGTACAAGAAATTGATTTTCAGCAGATACAGAGGTCTTAAAGCACAGGAAACGTCGCTGCAGTTCAGAGGGCCTCATAGAGGAGATTGCCTTGCTAGAAAGCATATACATCACAGTAGTCTTCCCCATTACATCTCCTAGTCAGGTAGGGTTTCACGAGTCAGGATTTAGAAAATTGAGAGTCTGCTATGGAAGCAAAACATGAATCTGTTAGCTGCCTACAGCTCCTGACACATTTGAGTGGTTCTGATCATATGCAAGAAAAGGTAACGTGTAGGTGGATGTGGATGGTAGATGGATTTGTACATCTGTTCTCACCTAGAGGTGTTTAGGGATAAATATTTAAACACCTCTGTGTAGGAATCCTAGTCACTTCATTATAGACTACAAATAAAAAGCAGCTGCTTGCTGAGACTGACTAACTTTAAAAATTAGTTTATAAAGGAATGAACTAGGTCCCTTAGACAGAAGAAACTGCCTTCAGATATGCCAGAAAGATCAATAAAACCTGATCAATGCAAATCTCAGAGGAAGAAATGTTCATGCAACTGCAAAGAAAAGGGTGATCTCACACGTTCTCTGTGTTTCTGTAACTCACATAATCGTCTGAAAGCATAGTGTTGTAAAGAGTGAACTAGAAGATATCTGGTTAGTGAGTCTTGCCCAAGAGCTAAACTGATTTATCATATTTAGGGTCTGGAAGAAATTTTTCCTTGTGTCAAACTAGCAGTGACTTGTTTTGCAGGTGTTTTGTGTGGTTTTGCCTTCCTTTGCTGCCTTGGGCATGATCACTGCTTAAGAGTATATGAGGATTGCACCCAACAAATTTCCTGCTGTTGCAGTCTTCACAGCATCAGCAAAGCTCTAGATCTTTTCTGCTTAACCTCTGACATGTACTGCAGTTGTGATTTTTGGTCATTTGCTCCAGATCTTAAGGTCATCACAGAGCACTGAAAATGGCACCACGTACGGAGACAGGCACAGTTGCACCCCGGCTGCTCTTGGACAACACCTCTATCCTGTAGTCCTGGCAGCCAGAGACAGGACCCAGCACCTAGAATGTTCCCCTCAGACCCTACAGGAAGATTTTGCTAAGACCAGGTTGACCGTGCAGCAGCTGTTGTTATTACTAAATCCATTTTACTGAGGGATACTGAGGCATAGAACCTCAGCTGCCACAGAGACATAGGTGCCCAAAGCCTTAGCACCAAGCCAAGCCTTCCACTCAACCGTATGCAGCTGCAGACAGAGCCAGGCAGGCTGATTCCCACGCAAATGACCTTTTTTTCCTTGCTTTTTTCCTTGCCACTTTCATTTTTGAATGTGTGAGTAGAATCATAGAATCAGTTTAGTGGTCAGCTGGGAAGGAGGTGGGGGAGTGTGGCAGTGACTGGCAACTTCCACTACATCACAGTTACGTAGCATCAAGCTTTATGTGCTTTAGACATAAAGCTGCCTCCCTACATGATATAAGCCCCACCTTAATCATTTTAGGTCCCAAGTTCAGCAGACAGGCTCTCTCCTAATGATATTCTGTTAAATGGACAAATTCCTTTGAAGGCTTGTCTTGCTTTGAAATCCAATTTCACAGGAAGCCAGATGCGATTGGGTGTAGCTATGGAAACAAAGCAGGGCAGCCTTAGAGGAGCTGAGCGATGCAAGGTAAAATGTGAGAGTCAGAGTCCTTTGCTGCGCTGTCGGAAATATCAAAGGATCTGGAGTGGTTGGCAGGAGACGTGTCCCTGTTACGGGCTGTTCTGTGTGGCTGCGTACCAGTGCCTGTCAGGGGAGGTAAGCAGCCGGCTGTCCTGTCACGCAGCCTGGACTGGGGCTGAAGGCACAGAACTGGGGGGCTGCAGACTCGCCAACCCCTGTCTGCCCCCTCCCCGCTCCTCCAGCATATCAGAATCTCAGCCTTCCCCCCGCTGCCATTCAGAAAGGTTAACAACAAAAGGGTAACAAGGTTAAACCACAAAGCCCTGGCTGATAACAGCCCTTTCAAGCAGCTGCACTGAAATTAATCTGAAACTTCTAGTAATTAGATAAGATAAGGATGTGTGCGTGCTCGTGCGGGCACACGCTGACCCTGGACACCCATTCCACAAAGGAGGTGGAGGATCACAGGCTTCATTAAACTGGATCAGGTTATTTGTTCACCTAGTCTGGAGCTGCAGCACTGAAAGTACATTTCCAGCCCCTTTATTCATCTTGCTTGGTATCCCTGGACAGAGCGCTGACTTGCCCTTTTGTCCTCCCTTCCCGGTGCTGTAGCTCCTGCCAATTCAGAGCAGACTCTAATTCTTGCATTCTCAGAGCAGATGCTAGCCCATCCATTTCTCTATCACAGCTCCTGCCATTCCAGGGCAAATTGTTGTGCCACTGGGTGTCATTTGCTGCTTCTGACAGTGACCGACAACTCAGAAAAAAGGCAACTTTCCAATCTGGTAATGCACCTGACTGCTTGAGTAATGTCTCCCGGTTTACTAATCAGCTATGCCATGCTAATGCTCTGCTGTAATCCCAGAGTTTGCATGCTTATGTCATTTTCATTGTCCAACAGCTCATGTATCTTTTTGTGTGACGAAGTCATTCAGTTGAACGTTAGTTGCAGTCCTCATAAAGCCTCTTTCATTTGTTACAGCGGAGTGGTCTTCGGTTGTCTTCGTAATTCGATTCTGCACCTCTCCTTCACAAGGGCTTGCAGGTTACTGTTCATCAGTTTCTGAAGCCAAAGAGAAACAAAAATATGTCAGCAGCTCTGAGTTATGGTAAACAGATCTGGTCCCAAAGCAAAACTAAATGACCAGACCTTGCTCCTGGCTTAGGCAGCCAGACTTTGGATTCATTTACCTTCCAGACATGCTGCATTTTCTCTCCTGTGAAGGCTTCTTGGAGGCAAGCAGGTGTGTTGAGATGTATTTGTCAGAGCATCTGTGACTGTATAGTAATTGTTGTTCATCACACCAACACATTAATTACAGTAGAACCCCACTGAAACGTTTCACTAGCACACATAAACCCCTGACAGACTTTATAGTCTGACCAGACGAGGAGAAGCATAGAAAAGAATTGCAAGAACTTCTCAGGAGAAGACCCTGGGAAAATAAACAAGTGTGTTGGTGCCTGGGATAGTGTTCAGGTTATCCAGGGCCACACTGCTGTTGTCAACAGCAGCGTTTTGTGCACAGCACCCCAAAAATGGAAAGGCAGATTCAGAGCAGTTGTCAGCTGGGAGGGAGGAAGGAAGCTCCGAGTCTTAACCCAGGAGTGGAGAGGCCCACGTTTCCTCCCCTGCTTCTTTCTTCCTGTGCAACACTCAGCTGTACGTGAAGCTCAAGTTCAAGCCCAAGACACAGTCCAGAGTCCAGACTGATCTATGTTCGC